GCTCAGGGGTCCAGGATTATCTTCTGTGTCTGTGTTAATTGGTTTCCCTTTTCTTTGTTGAAGAGGGTCTGTGCAGTCTTTCTGCCTAGTCCGCCATCTTGCCGGAACTCCCCCATTTTTATTGGACAATAATATGTTCTACTATGCTGGAAATGACAAATTAAAGAGGAATGGCATCACATTCATTGTCCAAAAGAACATTTCAAGATCTACACTGAAGTACAATGCTGTCAGTGATACAGCCATAGACCTACAAGGAAGACAAGCTGATACGACTATTATTCAAATTTACGCACCAACCACTCATGCCAAAGATGAAGAAATTAAAGATTTTTACCAACTTCTGCAGTCTAAAATTGACCATACATATAATCAGTATGTATTGATAATTACTGGTGATTGAAATGCAAAAGCTGGAAATACAGAAGAAGCATCAGTAGTTTTAAAATACAGCCTTGGTGAAAGAAATTATGCCAGAGACAGCATGACAGAATTTTACAAGACCAATGCATTGCAAACACCTTTTGTCTACAACATAAATGACACCTATACATGTGGATTTAACCATATGGAATACAAAGGAATCAAACTGATTACATGTGTAGAAAGAGGTGCTGGAGAAACTTGTTTCATCAGTAAAAATAAGGGAGGGGCTAACTGTGGAACAGACCGTCAATTACTCATATGCAAGTTCAAGGTAAAGGTAAAGAAAATTAAAACCAGTCCATGAGAGTCAAAATATCACTTGAGTATATCCCATCTGAATTTAGAGATCATGTGAAGAACAGGTTTGATGGATTGAACACCAATGACCAAAGATGAGACAAGTTGTGGGATGAACTCAGGGATTTCATACATGAAGAAAGCAGAAGGTCATTAAAAGACAGGAAAGGAAGACCAAAATGGATGTCAGAAGAGACTCTGAAACTTGCTTTTGAACAGAGAGTAGCTAAAGTGAATGGAAGAAATGATAAAATAGAAGAGCTGAACAGAGGATTTCAAAGGTGGTTAAAGAACACAAAATAAAGTTATAATGAAATGTGCAAAGGCCTGGAGTTAGAAAGCCAAAAGGGAAAAGCATGCTTGGCATTTCTTAAGCTGAAAGAACTGAAGAGAGAAAATTCAAGGCTTGAGTTGCAGTATGGGCAAAATATTGAATGATATAGAAAGCATCAAAAGAAGATGGAAGGAATACACAGAGTCACTGTACAAAAAAAGAACTGGTTAACACTCAGCTATTTCAGGATCTAGTGTATGATCAAAAACTGATGGTATTGAAAGCAGAACTTCAAGCTGCACTAAAGGTACTGGAATTGATGGAATACCTACTGAGATGTTTCAACAAATGGATGCAGCACCAGAAGTACTCACTCATTTATGCCAAAAAATTTGGCCAACTGACTAGAAAAGTTCCATATTTGCACCCATTCTGAAGAAAGGTGATCTAACAGAATGGGGAAATTATTGACCTATATCATTAATATCATTTTCAAGTAAAATTTTGCCAGAGATAATTAAAAAACAGTTATAGCAGTATACTGACAGGGAACTGCCAGAAATTCAAGCTAGATTCAGAAGAGGACATGGAACGAGAGATATCATTGCTGATGTTAGATGGATCTTGGTTGAAAGCAAAGCATATGAGAAATGTTTATTTGTATATTACTGACTATGCAAAGGCATTTGACTGTGTGGATCATAAAAAATTAAGGATAATATTGAGAATAATGAGAATTCCGGAATTGTGCTCATGAGGAACCTGTACACAGATGAAGTGGCAGTTGTTCGAACAGAACAAGGGTATATTGCATGGTTTAAAATCAGGAAAGGTGTGCATCAGGGTTGTATCCTTTCATGATACCTATTCAATCTGTATTATGAGCAAAAAAAAAAAAAAAAAAAAATCCCAGAAGCTGGAGTATATGAAGAAGAATACAGATCAGGATAGGAGGAAGACTATGATTTGATATGCAGAAGACACAACCTTGCTGCACGTGAAGATGATGTGAAGCACTTACTGATGAAGATCAAAGACTCCAACCTTCAGTATGGATTACACTTCAACATAAAACACAAACTCTCACAACTGGACCAATAAGCTACATCATGATAAATGGAGAAAAGATTGAAGTTGTCAAAGATTTCATTTTACTTGGATCCACAATCAACACCCATTGAAGCAGCAGTCAAGAAATCAAATAACATATTGCAATGGACAGATCTGTTGCAAAAGACCTACTTGAAATCATAAAGAGCAAAGATGTCACTTTGATGACTACGGTGTGCCTAACTCAAGCCATGGTATTTGTGTAGCCTCATATGCATATGAATGCTTGACAATGAATAAGGAAGATCAAAGAAGTGATGCATTTGGTAATGTTGGCAAAGAACATTGAAAATACCATGGACAGCTAGGAGAATGAACAAATCTGTCTTGGAAGTACAGCCGGAGATTTCCTTAGAAGCAAGAATGGTCAGCCATTCTGAGGATGGCACAGGATTTCGTTCTGCTGTACGTGGGGTCACTATGTGCCTGAACGACATGAGAGCACCTAACAACACACCTAACAACAACAACAACAATCATTAACAGTTCAGTATAAACTCTTTTTTTTTTTCCTTTGGGACAAAATTATAAAAGAAATGCTTGCTCTTTTACTCTTTACTTTTCTATCATTACTAAAAGTTCTTAAGATAACCTTAAAATAATAAATTAAAAAAAAAAACTCTGAAAAGAACACTTGTTTTAGAGAAAATGAGAACTTACAAAAAGCAGGGAGTATATTGTCTTCTCAATGGATCAGACGGGTTGTTGTTGAATCAACTCTTGACTCATGGTGACCCCATATGTGTCAGGGTAGACCTGTGAGTAAACCTCCACAGTCATTTCAATTCTGAGTTTTTGGAAGTAGGTCACTAAGCCTTTCTTCTGAGGCATCTCTGGGTGGACTTAAACCACCAGCCTTTCATTAGCAGCTGAGCATAGTAACCACTTGCACCACACAGGGATTTCCAGTGAATCAGGGAGATCAGTTTTGAACAGAGAGAATAAAAGATGGTGCTTGGGAAAAATGAAATCAGAGCAGTCCTTGGGGCCAGCAGAAGTCAAGGACACAGGAACCTGGAAGCTAGCCAAGAAAGCAAGAAGTACTTGCAGGAGTCAACAGTTGTCTAGATTCTCTTCCCTAAAACTGTTCTCTTATCTACACATCCACTGCATTTCCTATTTGTGCCCCTTTAAACCCCCCATACCCTGATCAAGCAGTCTTAGCCCCTCATCTGCCAAAATTGAGTTAGAGCTGGGGGAGTCCTCACTACATGTGTGAGGAAGAAGAGAACCCTTTCCACTACATAGAGGAAAATAACAAACATGAAAACAACTTAAATATTCGAGTGCTAACTATATATTTGTTACTGTTCTAAGCATTTTATATGTATTAACTCACTTAACCCCAAAAACAGCCTAACAAGGTACTTACTAATATTATCTCCATTTTATAGATGAGGATATTGAGGCATATAAGTTATTTGTCCAAAGACACAAAGATAATGAGCGATACTCTAAGTTAGGATTCAGAAACAATTATTTTTTGCAAAAAAAAAAAAAAAAAATTGTTATACACAGTGTTTGGTTTATGGCACTATCAATACTACACTTCTGGGCTTTATTAAGTTCAATAGACTTTTTGGGACAAGTGTCTAATTACTATGCCTAGCACTATTTTGTGGGAAAATGAGTTTCAGTAAGCCAGTTCAAGGAACTTTGGGATTGTCTAATTTATACAAAATCCCAAACCTATTTACCTTAAACAGATGTGTCATACACAGTAAGTATAATGTTTCAAGTCACTGAAATATTTCTTTTTCTTTTTAAGTTTTACTACAGACTATTATGATTGGGGACAACAAACTAACAGCTTCATGGCACAAGTAGGAACTTTACAACAAGACTCAACTTTGGATCCTGACAAACCAAGCCGTGGGTAGCATCAGTTCACAATATTATGGAAGATTCCTCAGTTGAAAAGCTTCAGAAAGACAAACTTAATGACCAACTTAAAAGCTGAACTTTTAGGGCACTATTCCTAGAGAAATAGGACTTTTTATTTGTTACAGGTTTCTACTGGCTCCATAGGACTAAACAATAATTTAGATTGACAAGACCTTATTTTAGTACTTAAAAGTGAGCCTGGCTATTTCAGTGGGTATAATTTAAACTTAAAAAACAAACCAACAACAACAACAACAAAAACTATTTTATAAAGATGTATTTTATATAACTTAAATAATAATGCTAAAGTATGCTAGAGTTTTTTTTCTGAGGATGCTGTTGCAATATGTGTTTTAGTTTGCACAAACCTTTATGCATAATTCACTTTAAAACAATACATTATATGGTATAATAGTTTTTAAAAAGGCTTTTGGACTACAGTGTTCCTCACATCCTTACTTCTTCAGGTCACTCACATTCTGAGCTCTACATTGGTGTGTTGTTGTTGTTGTTGTTATTTGCAGACTCCAGTCTTGAACATTAAAATCTAATGGAATATCAGTGGACTATAAAATAACTGAGAGTCCCTGGGCAGCACAAATGGCTAAGCACTAGCCAAAACGTTGATGGTTCAATCCAACCCAGAGGCACCTTGGAAGACAGTCCTGGCAATCTGGTTCTGAATGGTCACAGCCTTGAAAACCCTATGGAGCAATTCTACTTTGTATACATGGGATCACCATGAGTCAGAATCGACTCAATAACAACAAGAAGTAACTCTATATAGAGTTTTTTAAGGCTCAGATGATTGGTCCCTCAAATAATTTTAAATCTTGCCAAAAATGTGGTAGTTCCTTGATAATGTATAGAGAGGTAACTTACACTATATTTTGGATAGTTTTCAGCCCAATGAAATCTAATATCCATTAACTTGGGACTACAGCAAGACTACAGCTTTCCCAACTCGATTAATTTTCTTTACATTCAAGGAGAAAATAAGAAATTAGAAAAAGGGGATTAATAATGAATATCTTGGCTCTTGAGCCAAGATTATGTGAAATCCTAACAGTTTGTTTTCTGTAACTTTAAACCATATTGAAAATGGTGTCCTTTATCTTTAATCAACTCTGAAAGCAGTTATTTTGAATTGCATGTTTAAAATGGGTGTAACATTACAACATGCTGTAAGATGATGCTTGTCTCTTAGATATGTTAAAGGGCACATCTAAGAGAACTGCTTTGTAAGTTGTTTTTCATTTACATGAAAAACATGTCATGAAATGCAATTTCCTCAAACAGAAGTGCTGTTCTAAAACCTTGGCTATGTATAGTCTGCAACCATAAAACAGCCAATAATGTGTGTGGTACATGAGTCTGTTGAGATTAAATGCTATGATATTCTACCAAATATACATTAGGTACTACAGGAAGTACTCTTACAGGAGGAAAAGTGCCATTTTGCTCTCCCTAGGAAATCTCTGGTACCACAGTGCCTAAGGCACTTGACTGCTAACCAGAAGGCTGGCAGTTCAAACCCACCAACTACTCCTCAGAAGGAAGGTTGGGCAATCTACTTCCCTAGTGATACCGCCTTGGAAACCCAAGGAGGGGTCGCTATGAGTCGGGGCCAACTCGACAGCACATAACGACAACAACAGGCAATCTCAGATCTCAGGGCAGAAGGAGGGGCAAATGAAAAGGAACTTTCATTAAAAGTCCTATATACATGAGGAAACCCATATCAGACGAATTCTTATTTCCCATTTTGGTCTTCATGAATAGTTTATCCTTTGGCATTGATTTCACAGAGATCAAGATTATTTCTATTATTTTGATAGCATTTAAAATTGGAATATCAAGTTTTAAATGGGCCATGATTGGGTTTTTCATTTGTATAGAATACCTTACTCTCTATAATCCCACATAATAGCATTCTTGCCTTTCAATAGATGAAGGAATTAGGGTCACATATCATTTAAAATAGGAGCTCAGGTAGCATAGTGCCTAAGGCACTTAACTGCTAACCAGAAGGCTGGCAGTTCAAACCCACCAGCCACTCCTCAGAGGGAAGGTTGGGCAATCTACTTCCCTAGTGATACTGCCTCGGCAACCTAAGGAGGGGTCACTGAGTTGGGTCCGACTCGATGGCACATAACAACAACAACAACAACAACATCATCATTTAAAATAGTCACTGTATCAGGGAAAATTCCACTCTGAAGCAAAATTTGCACCAGTTATTCGAGTTGTCTTTAAAGTATTACAAGTTGTTATTCTAAATGGCATTAAGAACACACGTCTATTACACACTTCCTTTGTTACTAATACTTAGGAGAATTTAGAGGCTGACTCAGCATATACCTAATATATGTAGTAAACAAAAAAAATCTTTAAAATCATAGTTGCGGGAAGTCCTAAAGATCCTCAATATTAGGTCAGTTTAGGATAAATACCTATTTTAAACTGCTAGTGGTCAACTGCTAACTGAAAGGTGGGTGGTTCAAAACCACCAGTGGCTCTATGGGAGAAAGATGAGTCTGCTTCCCTAAAGATTTACAGCTTTGGAAACTCCATGGGGCAGTTCTACTCTTTCCTGTAGGGCCTCTATGTATTATAATCGACTTGATGGCAACTGGTTTGGTTTTGGCAAATATATTTATTATAAATCATGCAATTATTATATTCATTCTGTAAACACTATTTATAATTCTGTTACTACTGGCAGAAAAATTAGAAATAGAGAACATTAACTGATGAATGCCACAATCCACTTTGATGATAAAGCTGATAGTATTTATTGGAACTATAATGTTTCTTGGAGATGATTTTAAAAATATTCCAAATGCCTATTTTTTCTTTCCCCATTTTTTTTTTACAAAAATGCTAAAATGCAAGTTGTAGACTCATGCAAAAACTGAGACTAATGGTAGAATATAAAAAAATTATGAATGAATGACATTAACTTTCTCTCATAGTAAATGACATTCATATCCTGTGAAATGTCGCAGGAACTGTGTGGGGAAAAAAAATTAAAATTCCTTTAGCTTCATAATTAATATGTATTAATTATACTAATAAATCTAGCTCCTATGTAAAATATTAAATGCTAACAGACAGAATGGAATATTGATTACTCTTTCTAAAATGTCCAAATATCCTCTTGTTTTCAAAGCAAAAATTTAAAAGTTAAGATATATGGGGAATATCACTGAAACTTTGGTACTATTAATTATCTAAGTCCAATGTAACACCAAAAGGCTGCATATAAGTGATTTCTGCTTAACTACTGGAAATATACATACTAGGTTCTATCTCTGCACTTATTGTCTAAGACTTTCAATTGATTTGTGTAGGTATCTTTCATTGGCTCTTTTTCCTTTTTACAATAAACCTGTTTGTCTTAGACTGTGTTGTCCAGAGAAACAAAAACCAGCAAAGCTTATATATATAGAGAGAGGGAGACAGAAATTTATCTTAGGAAAATGTCTCACAAATGTATAGAAGGTGGGAAGATCAAAGTCCCTGGATCAAACATCAAGCTGGAGGCTTTTCTTGGCTCCCGCAACCACAGGGGCTGAGAAGCTCAAGGCTGGCAGGCAGTAAACTGGCTGTTGACTCCAACGAATGATGAATCCAAGATCTCCAGGCTGAATGGTGGACTGCTCACTCACGGACAGCTGTAGGCAGCACAACGGGATCCCGATCCACAGAAGAATGTCTCTCTTCCCAGGATGTCCCTGGATATCCTGGAAGCAGGCCACACCCCTAGGGAAACTCCCCTTCGGCAGATTGGCCACTCAAAAC